AACGCCCTTTGAACAGGGTGACATTTCTGGCAGAACTAGGCTCTTGCTGGGACGGGCAGCTTGCTGGTTGGGGTTGAGAGAAAGAAAACAGGACCTTACAAAAACAGGATAGTGTGAGACCCTGCATCGTGACCTACGAACTTCTAACCCCTGCGAGTCAATCGTACAGTTTGACCAGGAGCTGAATAACGCGACTGAAAAAAAAATCGCACAGTGTAAGCCCAGCTTAAGGGAAGATTCAGGGTCACCTGATCCAGCCCTAACCCTAATTAGCTTTATCAACGAGGAAAGTTAGAAGCCTAATTTTAAAAGTGAAGAAGAGAGTGTCTGTGCCCCAAATCTTGGAGCTGGTTCCACAGAAGACGGGCCGGGAAACTTAAGGATCTGCCTCTTATTATTGGTTTAGACACCATGTTTTTAAGTTTTTTTGGGGTCAAGTACAAAATCTCAGTTTTATCTGAAATTAGAAGCAGGAAATTCATTCAGGTCTTTATGTCTTTAAAAGATTCTTCCAATAAAGGCTCTGCCTTTCAACAATACTGCCTAAGGGAGGCATATCAAATGTAAACTTTATAGTTAAGCTTTCTGTCCCCATTTACACGAACAAATCGACTTAATAGAAAGATATGATTCAAACCACTGCAGCGGAGTGCCTTAATTCCTAGACTTTAAATAAACTAATCCTCTGCAGATGATTAGTTAGCTGTTTTACAATTACTCTTTAAAGGATTTTTGGTGAATGGGAGTTGAAGATTGGCTCGGCAAATGGTGTAAGTACTGCCACCTTAAAGGCCTGTCGTATGTAGCCCATTAACGGGGATAAACAGAGAGCAATACTCATCTACCCTTTGATGTTGCCTACTAATGAGAAGTGATTACTGTGCTACTGAAACAAGGTCCCCCAGAAGAGACCATTTCTCATTCAAATTTATTTTACACTACATACTTCACTTTGGTTTTCAGCAACATAGGTACAAAGACTGATAGACATACGTATAATAATTTCTTGTATTTGTTTATTATACTTGTGTATACATGTTATAGTGTGTGCTTTCCTCTTGCACAGGTCCAAACTGATATTTTAATCTCAACAAAACTTTCACCATTATCATGTTCTCAACATGATTACAGACTACACTAAACCCCATCATTTCACTCTTCTCACATTAGTCGTCACTTCCACTGCATGTAGTCTGTGCCACGTGCCTTCATGTGCATGACTTCCTAATTATTATACTAATTGCTTATTAGAATCATCATCATCATCATCATTATTATTATTAGAAGTTACCATAATAGTCTTAGCAAACCTAAACTTTGCACTAAAAATAGTTTGAACTTTAACGTCTTACCTGCCAGCCAGTTCCTTGTCCAAGTATTTAGCAGCCAGTCTGGCACCATAGACTTCGGCCTGCAGTACTGCCATGTGCCTGCGAAGGGCCTCGTTTTCTTTCTTATATAGTCTGGTTTCTGCCTCCATTTTTGCCTCTGCTAATTTCTCCTTCTTACTGGCCTCGAGCTCCTGTTCCTAGAACAAACACATACATTGTAAGTACAAAATATTAACCTTTTTTTTTTTTTTTAAATGAATATTATGAAAATGTATTGTTAAATTTGCAAAAATTAATCATGATTAATTACAAATGTTATATGAGAAGGTTAAACTCTGATTTACATTCACATTAGTCTATGTAATTTTATGTAATTTGCAGAAAAATAACCATGAGAAAACTAGGTACACGGGGATAAACCACAGCTGACAGGCTGATCCCAATCTCACTAATAAATAGAAGATTCTTAATGTGGCATTTTTCAACAATTGTAAATTGAATCTATATCAAACTTTGGACTTGAGGGAGTATAGCACAGTGTTTGATAAGAGATTGCCTTATTGTTGAGGTTTTCAAACCTGTTGCTCATTGACAACTACTGTCCTCTGTTACCTTCCAGTTCAGGCACAATGCAGGCTGCGCTCTTTTGGATTTTTATTCCTGGCATGTGCTGGACCTGCTCGCCCAGTTTGGGGCTCACTGCAATGAGTTCTCCAGTTATCACTTGGTATCTATCACTACAGCCCACTTCCCCTGCTTATCCACCACTACTATGTCTGGCAGGATTTCTCAATATTATCCACTTCTTATATCCGCCAGTGGTACATACCATGGAGGAGCCACACTATCAGTTGTGGCTTGCTGATGAACTCATGGACCTTTGTGTTTTCATCCTGGACATTGGTTCTGGCACTCACTAGTCCTCAGCCACCTTCCATCCGCTTAGTATACAGTCTCAGGGTGCTGGACTTGGGGTAAGGCATCCTCCAAGTCTAGGTCACTAACGCATGATAAGACGCTTTCTTGTCTTGATGTCAGTGGCTTCTCTCTCTCTCAGGCCAGCTGATTATCCCAGCAGGGTATCTTGACGACTGGCAGGTGCTGACTGCCTGAATCTTGATCTTGTACTCTCTGCATGTATTTGATGACTGCAGCTTTCCTAGCAGCCTCCCATTTGTCTGTGGAATTCCCAGGCACTTGTAGCTGTCCTCGATGTCTGCAATGTTGCCTTCTGGTAGTGGAATTCCCTCAGTTCTGACTACCTTCCCTCTCTTTGTTGCCATCCGACTACACTTCTCCAGTTCGAATAACACTCTGATGATGCTGTAGATTCTAGTGATGTGGCTCAGTGAATCGATGTCTCGTTCACTCCTGGCACACACTTCCATGTAGAGGAGGTGGCTGACAATTGCTCCATTCCGTAGTTTGTCTGGTCTGGCTAAGGGAGTTCAGGCCTATGCAGAACAGCAGTAGTGACAGAGCATCTTCTTGTTTAATCTTGTACTTGATAATGCCTTTTGCTATTTGCTTGAAGTTGGCCTCTAGTGTTGTTCGCCACATCCCCATTGAGTTCCTGACAAAGGCTCTTAGGGTCCTATTGATCTTGTACAATTCTAGGGATTCCAGGACCCATGTGTGAGGCACTGAGTAGTAGGCTTTCTTGTAGTCAATCCAGGCAGTGCACAGGTTGGTCAGTCTGGTCTTACAGTCTATCTACCAGGAGCTGGTGTTTTGCCCATCTGTCCTTTCTTTTCCCTGCTCCATGTGGTGCTGAGGCAGGTTACTGACCAGCAGTTGAACGGGATTGGCCCGTTTTCAGTTAGCCATTCTGGGTTTGTTTGGTCCATTAGCAGCTGACTCATTTGTTAGTTTGCTAGATGGCTCATGGAGCACAGTTAGCTTCTGTATGTTAGACTCCTGGTCCCCTCCCCAGTCGGACCAGGAGTGATATGTTCTCGTTAAATTTCTGGCTGTCTAAGTGGTGTCCAAAAAGTTATTAAACTTAGAACAAGATCTTCCACTCCAGCTTATTAATGAGCCAAAGACCCAGACATGGTCTTAATTCATTCGAAAGCCTGATGGTTAGCCTTGTCCATGCAAGCTGGAAACCTCAAAAACAGTCTTATTTGTTGTTATCTATGGGCCTTACTCAGAGTTTCTGACTTCTCAGATGTTTTGATTTGGTACTCAGCTCAGCTAAAATAATTAGTGGGGGTGATTTTTGCATTGATGTAGATATTAAAAATGACAGCCTCAACAAGGCCAATTATTAGAAATAAGTGTCTTCTTTCAAAAAATAAAAGAACGCACTCAACACTTAGTCTTACTCTAGATCTTATTATGATATATGGCAAAGCAAATGAACATTAACAGTATTCCCTGAACACCATTTTTTGTCTGATCATTTCTTAAATTTACAACAGTGGATTACACAGCAGTAATGAATTGATTTCATGACACTTGTTTATAGTGTCACAGCTTCACTGCATAAAATGCTGGATACTGTAGCTGCTCTGAAAAAGAAAACCTCAAATCAGAAGTACTTGACTCCTTGGTATAACTCTCAAACATGCACCTTAAAGTAGATAATTCATGGTCGGGAGAAGAAATGACATGTCACTAATTTAGAAGATCATCATTTAGCCTGAAAAAACTGGTCTTTACACTATTAAAAACAGTAGTTAAACCATTTTAACTACTTTAAAGTAGTTAAAATTGCCCATCACAGTACAGAAACTGCTTTAGTGAAGGTTACAAATGATCTTCTTATGGCCTCTGACAGTGGACTCATCTCTGTGCTCGTCCTGCTAGACCTTAGTGCAGCATTCAATACAGTTGTCCATAATGTTTTATTACCGCTATTAGAACATGCTGCAGGTACTAAAAGTACTATGCTGCAGTATTGTGAATCTCATCTGTATAATACACTCGAATTTCTTCATGTAAATGGAGAGACCTCTTCAAACACTAAGGTTAATTATGGAGTTCCACAGGGTTCAGTGCTAGGACCAATTCTTTTTATGTTTTACATGCTTCCCTTAGGCAGTATCATCAGAAGGCATAGCATATATTTTCACTGCTATGCAGATATCCAACTTTATCTATTCCTTAGGCCAGATAACACATACCAATTAGTTAAACTGTGGGAATGTCTTAAAGACAAAGACGTGGATGATACTAGTCTCCATCAGAGTATTATTGTGTGCAAATGTTAGATAGAAAGCAGAAAAAAGAAAAAGGCTATATAAAAACAGTTCATTTACCATTCCATTTGTGCAATATTAATTAAAAACATACTGTCTCAGAGTGACACTGAAAAACTAGTTCATGGACAACTATAATTCATTATTATCAGGATGTAGGGATGGGTACGGGTATCCGGTTCTGACATAAACGGTAGTAACCAGACCAAAAAGCGGTGCTTTATTTCGGTGTTTTGTTTTTTTTCCTGAGATATCATACACTTTGGATTCTAGCCAACCATTTTACCTTTCCAAGGATAGTAGGTGGGCCCAGGTACGTATGTTCTTTTAGAGCAGAGCTACAGATTAAAAATGCCCAAGGCGAAGTGGTCAAAAGTCTGGCTGTACTTCACAGCAAAAGATGCAAACTCAGCAGCCTGCAACAAGTGCTTTAAGGTGATACTGTGCAAAGGAGGTAACACCTCGAAGCTGACAACGAACTTGGCGATGCATAGCGTTTTTTTAAAAGCTGAGAAATGCACCGTATTTGATAGCTTGCTGCGAGACCTCACACCGAGCACATCTACTGCGGGTGTGGTGCCTGTTATCGGACCCGGAGCAACCTCCCCCAAAAACCCGAAGAGGAGAGTCCTGGCCGCTAGCCCTGCCGGTGCAGCAGAAATGATGACGGATGATGGCAGCAGCAGCCGTTCTTCTCTGCGTGAGTAGCTTAATGTTGTTCGTGTGTAATTTACGTTTAGTAGGTTAACCACATTAATAAATTAATGCACGTAAGGTGAACTGGCAAACAGCGTTGTAGTTACATGCGGCTGTCTTCTTGTTTGATGGCAGATACTCCCTTCACCCTGGCCAAAAAGGCTAAAATGACCAAAGAAAAAGTGGAAAACAGCTAAACATGAGAGGTTTTTGGACAAAGTTTGTGTTCTCCATTCTTTAAGCACCGGTTCGAGCACCGTTTAAGCACCGGCACCGTTTCAAAAGTACCGGTTTGGCACCGGTATCGGATAAAACCTAAACGATACCCATCCCTATCAGGATGTCTTAAAAACTCGCTGGAAAGCTTTCAGCTCATCTAAAATGCTGCAGCAAGAGTACTGACAGGTACTAGACAGACAGCATATTTCTCTTACACTGGCTTTTCTTCAATCCAGGATCAAATTTAAAATCCTTCTCATCACATTAAAGATCTTGAATAATCAGGCCCCATCTTATAGTACTAACCTGATAGTACCACATGACCCCATTACAGCACTTCACTCTTAGACTGCAGGATTACTTGTATATCATAGGGTATTTAAAATTAGAACGTGAGGCAAAACCTTCATCTCCCACGCCTCTCGACTTGGCACCGTTTGCCATGGCTTTTTGGGTTTTCCATTAGGTTACAGTACCTGGTATCAGGTACTTTCTAAGTAGGTACTAAAATGTTATCATTGTCACACTGCATGCCACTGATTGGTTGGTCAGCAGCATCACTCAATGAGTCATGAAAGTATCTTGATCACAAAAATTAAAACCACCATTTTTGAAACCCGGCAAGGGGGGTAAATGGCTATAAAAAACCCCCCAAAAAAAACAATGCCGTGGTCCCCAAGTCTGATGAAAAGCCACACACTGAGCAGCAGGTATGTTCTTGCCTCGATGTCCACCTTTGTTGTCCACACCCAGATGCGTTGCTATGACGACAAGCACGCACACTGGGTTATAATGGAAAACCAGGTGATCCAAGTTAGCTCGTGGTGATCTGTGGCAAGTCAATTAGTAGGTACTAATAGAAAAGGGGCTTTAAACTGAACAGTTTTGAACTGGTTTATTCTCCTGGCTTCTATCTCTGGGTTACCTCGCCAAGCAGCTGCCCAAGGCTCTGAGTCTTTGCTTGACAGTTTCTAAGGCCTCAGGACAACTTGCAGCATTTCTTAGGTACCCCTTTTTGCAGTTCCAATAGTTGCCAAGTTTCCTTTGTGCTGCCTTGAGCTTGCCTTTCTCAGTGAAGA